GGCTGCTTGTTTTGGTGTCAGAATATGTGTGTATCTTCCTGGGGGTTAGGCAGAGTTTTTTTCTATTCAGTTGTTAACGAGTGGCTGCTGAAGGTGATTAGCATGTTCATTGTGTGAATTGTTCACGCATCCTGGTGGTTGAGCTGAGTTCGTTGACCTTTTGCAGACTGTATTTTTCAGGACTGGTAGCCAGGTTTTGTTGATTTTTAGACTTTCTGACACCAAAACAAGCAGCCACTCGTTAACAACTGAATAGAAAAAAACTCTGCCTAACCCCCAGGAAGATACACACATATTCTGACACCAAAACAAGCAGCCACTCGTTAACAACTGAATAGAAAAAAACTCTGCCTAACCCCCAGGAAGATACACACATATTCTGACACCAAAACAAGCAGCCACTCTTTAACCCCACCCCCACCCCCCAACCTGCAGCCACCCTCCCGCATCTCTATAAATACCCACAACAGGGTCACATCATCCTGGGCACAGAAAGAACTGCTCCTGTCTGTGCTCCTGCCCTCTGAAGATCCCGGTCACAGATGCTGGCAAAACATTAGGAAACAAAACCTCCAGAACATGGCCACACAGCCTGGAAGACCCACACCAGCCAATTGACCAGGACTTAACAAAAAACTGTAAGGGATGCAGAGCATGTATATTGAACTGCAACAACAACAGTAAACACTAGTTGAATTGAAACCACAAATATTTTTATTAGGAATGATTCTAGAAAGTATAAATTAAAAGTATCACAGCCTATTAAGATATATGCTGACAGTGACAAAAATCAATTTGGCACAATATTGGAAAAGAGAAACCTTGTCAACAATACAAGATTGGGAAACCAAAATTGGAGAATATGCTGTGATGAAGAAACTGACTGTATATATTCACAACAGAAGTGTAACCAATTCAAGCAGGAATGGCTCGCTTCCATACAACTTTTTAAACAGCAAGGCAAGCTTAGGCATTTACTATATGACTTTTGAAGAAAATAGAGAAATAGATTAAAAGACAACTGAAAAAAATGACTTAAATAAACAACAACTATGTAAAAATGTAAAGTACTTCATAATTATCTAAGTAGTAATTAGTGGTTGGGGAAAAATGAAAGTAAAGGGGAGAGTACATTACTGAATGCTACATTTTACAATGTATTTTATTATACTGTATGTTACTTCTTGCATCTCTATTTCTTAGCTATTTTGTACAATGCTTAATAACAACCAATAAACACTTGGACAGCAGACCACATAGCACACAGGTCACGAGGTCACAGTCTTCCCAATATGAGATGTATGTTTATTTAAATTATAGTAATTATTTTTAGATTTAAATCTATGCATATAAATTAACAAGTGTAGATTTTAATTTCCGTTGGGAAAAACAAAACATATTTGCAGTGCTTCATGCAATTTATGTGTAGAAATCGCAAGGGAAATTATATCTATAAATGGGCATTTCAAAACTCCTTACCTGCAGTTAAACTTATAAAACCATCTTGCAAATATTGTATTTCCAATCAAGCAGGAAATGCACAAGAAAAGAAGGATAATACAATAAGATTTATGAAAAGGGGGAAAGCATGGGGCATTGGCATACACATATTTAAGAGGAGTTTGGAGGTAGGATTATCAAGATGTTCCTTTCTTACCATCAACCTTGTTAGAGTAAAATTTCTATACCTAAGCCCAACTAGGAATCCTGGCTTTTTGGCACTTTACAGACTAATAGGCAGATTTTTTTCCCCAAAATATTGGGGGAAAAAACTGAATATAAAATGCATTAGAGAAAGCTACATAAAGAAATCTTTGTATTAGGGAAAGTTGCATATAAAACTGTGAACATTAAGGAAAGTTACATATGACAATAAACGCATGGTGAGGTTCATGCAGAATCATGCAGGAATTAGAGTGAATTCATGACTGAATGTACATAAAACTGAGACAGATTTGATACAGACCTATTTGTAGGGCAACTGAGCCCAGCTCAAACAGCAATTCATATTTCTTTACAAGCAATCCTTCACATTTTGTTAGAAAGCCACAAATAATTTACAATGCAAATGATTTGTAGAATAATGTTTATCTGTTGCTCAGCCATCATTCTGCTGCCATTAGGAGCCTCACAAAGAACTCATCAAAGTGCCAGGCACTGTTGTTATAATTATATTGATAGCAATTGTAACTTAGTTTGTTCTTCTGAAGTTGATACTAATTTGTGAAAAATACACAGCACCTGAAAAAACTCAATGAGTAGTTCTTTCTTTGAAGCAGCTAAAGGTTGTATCAGTCAGTGAAGAGTGCTATATGCCAGCTTTGCTTAAACCTTTTAAAGGTGTCAAAAGCATTAATCTTCTTCAATACAACGGTATCACCCCAGTCTGAAGAAATGTTTCTGAGCTTGCCATGAAAAGAAAATAAGTCAATTCATTTTCAGTTCACCCCCAGAGCCTATTCTCACACATGCAGATGTAAACAGTTTCCTTATTTTCCTTTTTTTTCTTTATTGACAAATTAATACAGTGCTTCTGAAAACTGCAGACTGATGGTGTTGAAGGCGGAGAACATATTTTTATCGTCCCAGCTGCTGTACAAGAGATGTAAGCTGGTTCTCCAAATTAGTCTGCCAACTTATGTCCAAGCCACAGATATTCATGAAGTTTTGAGAGACAACAGAAAGCCTAGGTATCTATTTTAACTGTTAACACCATCATCAAAAATGCTATTTTTTAGTTTCTTTTCAAATATTCAGTGTTTAGTATTTGTACTTACTTGTTCAGGCTGTGTCATAATACATGACATGTGCCTAATCTAAATTGAACTCTTGTGCAGAACTCAAAGATTATTTTTCCCATTGCAACAGAAAAGCCAGCCTTAATCAATAAATGAAAGCTGTAATATAATGTTTTTTTTGTGCTTGACCAAGCAGTTATGTTGCAATTTACTGCCAAGCCAAGTTACTCATTCATGGCAACTGTAATACTTTTTAATTAGGACATGATTAATTCCTTATCATAAGCAGCAAGCATCATCCTTTAGCTTAAACTGACAATTATATAAAATGTGTTATAAGAGTCATACAACTGTTTTCTTCATTGGCATTCTATTTTTTTCACTTTCAAAGGTGTAGGATCCAAAATTATTCCTTTTCAATTTGAGGTTTTATCTGAAATTCAGAGAAAAGAAACTTCTACAGGAATTTTCTTTTGAAATCTAGCTGCTTCTGCTCTCCTCTCATCCTTTAAATTCAAGTGTCATCCCAGTGTCTTCTAAAGGTTTTAAAGAGTCAGTAACCAACTTCTTCCATAATAGACTGAATAGCAACCAAATGAATTAACAAAATTTTCCTGTATTCCTAGAAAAAGCTGGGCATTTAAAAAAATTCTTGCAAACATATAAATCCCAGTTTCTAATTTCAACCTCCTCAAGAAAATATTAATTATCTAAAGATAATTAATAAGATGTTATGAACTATGTTCAAAATACTCAGAAAATAAAACTAGCAAATTTCAATTTAAAAACAAGATAATAGGAAGTTTTGTTTTCAGATAGGAAACTTGCAGGTGATGCACTTAGCTATACTTTTCAGCAGCACTTCATCCCACAAGGAATAAGTAGGGGAAGAGAAGAAGAGTTCCAGTCACTAGGATAGAAGGCTACTTATAGGCAAATTACAGAGGGCTATATTAGAGTTTAGGGCAGCTGGACAGAAGCCCAAGGATTCAAATTTAGATTTAGGATTCAACCTTAGAAAAATTTTAGTCTCATTCTAGATGGGCAGATGTTTGAAATATCCACTGACATAGCCAAAGCACTGAAAAATGTAATAGGCAGAAGGCAACTGCTTAAGATAAGTTCTGGAAAATAAAATAGCCCAGTAATGACAGATCTCCCCCTATAATGCACTTGTGAACTAGTCTTAGTAAATTGTTTTCTATTATCCCTCTATAGGAGAAACTTAGCTATACCTCTGAATTCCAAAGACGCAGAGAATTAGGTGAAACTGGCAAATGATACAAAGATAGGACAAATCAATATTTTGGAAAATGATACAAAAGTAGGATGAATTGATTAGAAATAAACAGTGTCCTACAAGTGGCCACATGCATAGCAACAGCTAGTGTTTACAGATTAGAAACACCCTGGTGAATGAAATAGCTACTGTATATCTTCTCCATTAGCCTCTTTTTCATTCTATACAGCATGGAAGAAATCAGATGCTATATACAATCATTCATTAAATAGTACAAAGAATTTAAAAGAAGGTGCTTCACAAAGTATGTTAGCATCCTTGAAGCATTAAAGCAGTCATGTCCTTGATAAGTCTTTCAAGGTGGCTTCAAAGGCTGTCCCTATTGCCAGGATACTTCTCTGCATACACAGATAACACTTCTGCTGGGGCCAGTTGTGAAGCAAAGCAAATATGTGAAGCAAATACATAAAATGGCTGGTGACAGCCTTGAAGCATCTGCCAAAGGATGCAACTATTTTAATGATACATTCACACAAACATATCCTGTGAAGAATCTCTTTCAAATGTTTGAATAATCCTATTAAATAGTTCATCACTTATTAAATAACCAGCAATTGCACTGCAAATAAACAGAAGTGAACAAAGCAAAAAGATAATAAAACTTGTCTTCATCTATTAAACACTAAAATAACTTACCATCTTGCTGACCTTGAAGATTCTGCGGACTTTGAATTCTTTCTTCAAGATTTGAACTGAGGTCAGAATTCACAGCAGACATTCTGGTAGAATCACTCAGATCAAATTCATCACTTTCTATGGAACTTTCATCCTGAAAATATAACATTCCATATCCCAGCTTATTAAAAAATATCAAGGTAAATTTCAGACATGTTTGTACTGAATTGGAATATGTCAAGTAATTACAAATCTAGCACAGTCTTAAGTGCTTTGATTCTTTGTATTTATCTATGTAAGAATAATTAACTGGCTGTTTTTCCCCTGGAAACTTATGTTCAAACACACAACTGATGTGTGTAAATGATTCACAATTAATGATTAAATGGAAGAGAGATAGAAAGTTGAGTAAAAAGAACTACAATTTCCACAAACAGGTTGCTTCTGTCTCTTAAAAAGGCAGAATAAATTGGTCTAAGATAACAGTGGTGCACAGTGCTATATCTCTGTCTTACATCAGAGGTTTTAAACCTCTTTGGGTTGGGGGCACATCCAGAATTTTAAGAATAAGTAGTGGATGTTCTTGAAGAAATGCTGGCTGTATGAGAAGCTTGCCCACTACAAAATAGCTATCATGGGGGACATAGATTTAGCAGAATGTCATCTGCCATCTCTTCCATTGTCCTATGGGATGCTCCATAGAACCTCAACTACTTTATCCTTTTTCTGGGCAGTTGGGTTCTTTTAAAAACTAAGCAGTGGGGTGCAGCCTTCTCCTTCACCAGAGGGCGTTCAAACAGAGGGTCTTCTGTCAGACATACTCTAGTGCTGCCTGGGGAATCCTGGGTGTTGAAGTCCACACATCCTGAAGTAGCCAAGGTTGAGAAACACTGCTCCAGTGGATCCTGTACTGAGCTGATGGTTGGACTAGACAACCTCTAAAGTACCTTCCAAGTGCTATTCAGCCTTATCACTAAGATCAAGTGTAAAGTTCCTTCCAATTCTATGTGTTTTTTATTTTCTAAAATTGCCTATGGGCCCATTTCAGTCATAGAGATATTCTGGGAAATATAGAGTGACGCTATTGGTTTGGAGGTTGCCAGCTTCCCAATTTTTCAATCAAAGGGTTTAGTTAAAAATATTAAAATGCAAGTGAGATAGGGAGCCTGGTGAGAACTATGGGAGATATCTTTGGGCACACTGATAGAAAAAGTAAGTAACTTGAACTTAATCTGAAGGAAATTGTTTATTTTAAGCATGACCATTCTGAAAAGAAGCCTAGAGAAACTCAACTTATTCTTCATCATCATCATCATCATCATCATCATCATCATCATCATCATCTTGTACTATTCCATAGTAGTTTTACATCGTACCAAAGAAAAAGTCCAAAGGACTTGTATAAGCTCTACCAAATTGTTATAGATGCTATGGTGAACAATCAGACAAAGGAACAGCAAAATACTTTGGACTTATGAAGAGTAGGGAACAAAATCAATTTTGGGACAATTGAAACAGAGACATAAATTGTGGATAAGTAATGAATTATTAAATTATTAAATTAAATAAATAATTAAACAGATTATCATTGTTTCAATATTAGATTTCATTACTGAAAATCATTAATGTGTAAACTGAGTTTTATTTCCCAGCCAATATATATGTAAGCATGATGAATGAATTCAGTATAAATTCAGCATGCATTTTTCAAATTATGAAAGACTACATTACATATAAAATTTGTTTACATTTTCTGCAGGTCTCCCTGTCAATCTATCCTTTACATTATACGATATATCCATGAAATGAACTCTTTCCTGATGAAAAGATGGAGTTTCACTTTCTATCACATTTATGGTAATCTAGTGTGAAGATTAGTTGGCTAGTCTGGGAAAGCACTCATCAGAAAAAAAAAATTATTTTCCAGAATAAAAATAGTTCATTGTAGGTCTTTCCCCTCAACACAGTTAACATAATGCAAGAGGGAATGGAAAGATGCCTGCTGGCCCTACTCTTGTTTCTCCACCAGCTCCACTCCTGGCCACCCATATATTCACACAGGGGTCTAAACAAGGGATAATCCTCCATGGAGGGTGTACATCTTCCTCTATCCAGACCTCCACCCACAATGTGTAGATAACCCCGTGTAGAACCCTCCACTACTCTATGCAGAACTTGACCAACGCTATAACAAGGTTATAGTATATATCTAAATGGGTAGCTAAAATAGACTACTTATGCCTAGGGCAGTGTTGTCCAAACTTGGCCACTTTAAGATGAGTGGACTTCAATTCCCAGAATTCCCC